CCCCTATAGGAAACCTTTTCTGTTCCTCAACACCTACAATTAAACCCCCTTTAGGATACCTTTTCTGTTCCTGAACACCTGCATTTAAACCCCCTTTAGGATACCTTTTCTGTTCCTCAACCTAAATATTTAAATATCCTTGAAGTGAACGATGGTCCAGCAATGACATTTTTTTAATCGTTAAAGTATCTTATCTCTGACCCAGATGAACTCATATAGAGGTATTTTCATTAGTGGAAAGATCGGTTTTCTTCCCCATTTCTATGAAAAGAGATTACTTGCATAATTCGGTGGTACTGCAGTAAAAACAGCAAAAATAATGAAAAACCATATTAATTACTTTCTGACCTCTAAACCATAACAAGTTAAACTAAACAAAAACTGTAAACACAAGTTCAATGTTAGTTGACACATTTTAGAAAAAAAAAACACTTTTATCTTAAATTCTGATTCAACATTTGCATAATTCAGTGGAACACACTGGAGTAGTGTATAATGAGAATGTGTTAGGAGAGAGTTGAAGATGGTTTATATTAGAGAAACCACTTAACCCTTGAACTCATGCATCCAATCTGGTGTCTTGTCTGTCTTGTCTGTCTTGTCTGTCTTGTCTGTTGTCTGCCTTGTCTCTTGTCGGTCTTGTCTATCTTGTCTGTCTTGTCTGTCTTGTCTGTCTTGTCTGTCTTGTCTGTCTTGTCTGTCTTGTCTGTCTTGTCTGTCTTGTCTGTTTTGTCTGTCTTGTCTGTCTTGTCTGTCTTGTCTGTCTTGTCTGTCTTGTCTGTCTTGTCTGTCTTGTCTGTCTTGTCTGTCTTGTCTGTCTTGTCTATCTTGTCTATTTTGTCTGTCTTGTCTATCTTGTCTATTTTGTCTGTCTTGTCTTTCTTGAAAAATAAATTATGAAAACTAGGAACATGTGGATCTTTGGCGGACGATGAATCCCGACAATTTTATAATTCAACTTGGGTTGTGTGCTGTGTGATGTGTGACTGACATTGCACACAATGGGTGGTTGAGAGAATCCCACAATGGTGTGTGTGATGGTATAAAGTACCGCTGGATTCCTGGGTATTGTTGTGTGTGGGGGTATACCTACATTTTATATCTCGTATCATCACAATCATCTTCTTATTAAAGGAATTTTCCGCTTTCAAACACGTGTCTAGGGTTACGGGGGTTAGTAAAGGAGGAGGAGAAGGAAGAGGAGAAGAAGAAGAAGAGAAGAAGGAGGAGAAGAAGAAGAAGTAGAAGAAGAAAAGAAGAAGAAGATGAAGAAGAAAAAGAAGAAGAAGAAGAAAAAAGAAGATGATGAAGAAGAAGAAGAAGAAAAAAAAGAAGAAGAAGAAGAGGAAGAACAAAAAGAACAAAAAGAACTAAAAGAAAAAGAAGAAGTAGAAAAAGAAAAAAAAAGAAAAAGAAGAAGAAGAAGAAGAAGAAGAAGTAGTAGAAGAAGAAGAAGAAGAAGAAGAATGACAAATGTAGAGCTAGAGATCAGGGAATAAAGACAAGAAAGGGATATGATGAAGAGAAGGAAAAAAGGAAAAAAGGAGCCGAATGGAAGGATGATTACTTAATTTACCCATTTTCCTTTAGTTTGATATCTTCGAGCATACTAAGCATTATCTATAAATTTGATTAATATTAGATGATCTAAAAGAAAACTGAAAGCTAACATGGCCGGGTTCAAAGTGAAAGGGTCTTATTTCTACCAAATTTACCGAAATGGCAACTTTCTCAAGGTCCCAGAACAAAATATTCATGCATATTATATTCCCTGGAATCCATGAATGCTTGAACTATGCTTGAATTGACCCAATATCTGAGAAACCTCAACGCCAGGGAAAAATGATCAAAATTCGGAGACATAGTTTCCCTGCATCATGCAGTGTACACGCCATGGACTAAGCAACCCCCAGAAGAAGCAGGTATATCAACTCTGATGTCCCCCCCCGCACTCTACCTCACTGACAGAAGACATTCCAAACCTTATCTTAGAATTTTGCTAGTAATCACTGCGTTTTGTGAAAACTGCAAGCAAAGATTACATTATTTTATAAATTGTAAGAACGCAATGTTTTGTTTCTTCTGTTTTTTTTGTCTATATCTCCGATTGGCTTGAAGTATAGCCAGGTCCTGCTAAGGGCCCCCTACTTGGAAAGGAATGCAAAACACACATATGTCACATATGCGCATTGCGCGCACTTAACCCTTTCCCACATTGCGCACAAATGATCCAAGTCCTTCTCTCTCACTTTTAACTGTATTTTACCTAGTTTTTGAATTGAAAAGAGAGAATGGTTGAATTGCATTTTAAAGATGTTCCACGATAACCCTTCTAACCTTTCACCATTCTGTCCTGTTCCCTCTCCCCCTGTTCTTTATGGACTAATATATCAATGACCATGTGCAGTCTTGTATCCAAGCTTTAAAGGAAAAAATAACGTATTTAAGGACTTTAATACCAATTTCTGTTTTATTAATATGTATGAAATATGATGCAGGTGCCGCACACTGTACATAAAGTACGCTGTTCAGTTTTACATTGTAAGCTATGTACGTCACACTGAACAGCGTACATGGATATAGCCATCCAACCTTTTATTACTTAGATAAACATTCCTGCAAGCTAACCGAGTATATCTAATGTAATTTTAAACTTCACTCTCCGCCCTAGTAATTCACAGTAATTGGCCTAATAACCAGAGATGAGGGGGAAGAAAGGGGGGTATTGTTGGTTGACGGGGAGGGAAGGGTGGTTGAGAAGTTAGGGAGGGAAGTGTGGGGTGTTTGGTCTAAATTGTTCTTAATTACGAACATTGAACGGACTATCAATAATGTACACACACACATCAACATATCAAGCATAATATTCTTCATCGTTTTTACCAGGGTTTCGTGGGTTAACCTGTTTCCTAGTTTTATCTTTAAATTGAAATAAGATAATAAGAAGGATGTTGAGGCTAGAAGGGAGAGCAGTTGGAAAAATCTCATGATAAAGGATGGAGGGAATTAGAAACCAGAGGATTAAGGATTAAGAATAAAAAGAGGAGGATTAGAGAGGATTATAGAATGAAGAATAGAAGGAAGATGATTGAAGAAGAGAATTGAAGGATTGAAAATAGAATAAAGAGCATTAGAAATGAGAATTGGAGAATAGAGAAAAAAAGAAAGAGAATTGAAGAAGACGAATTGGAGGATAGAGAATAAAATAAAGAGCATTAAAGAAGAGGATTCGAGAATAGAAAATAGAATAAAGAGCATTAAAAAAGAGAATTGGAGGATAGAGAAAAAAGAAACAGAATTGAAGAAGAGAATTGGAGGATAGAGAATAGAAGAAAGAGAATTAAAGAAGAGGATTGGAGGATAGAGAATAGAAGAAAGAGAATTAAAGAAGAGAATTGAAGGATAGAGAAAAAAGGAAAGAGAATTAAAATGAAGGTTGAAAAGAAAGTATAATAAAAGGTAAAGAGGGCCGGCGGAGAATTCGAGGTTTTACGATTACAGAATTAAAAAGAAACGAACAAAAGTTTCTCTAAATACTTTCATGTGTAATTGATTCTAAGATGAAGAAATTGGAGATCAATTGTTTGTCGGTTAAGGACAGGGGGGGGGGTAGGCAGTTCGATTGGTTTAGGTATCTAATGGACGGGGTGGGGGTAGGTAGGTAGGGTGGTGATGATTGACAGACCTCACAGATCTATAAAATATATTCTCATACTCACTTTCTAGTTTACTCTCCACATCTCTCGACCAAGAACAAATAATTTCATACGGAAACAAATGCTTCAATAATTCCTAATTAATTTCGTATGTAAAGGTGTAAGTAAAATAATAAATCAACGCGTAAATGTATTTACAATAAAGAATAAAAAATCAGGCAGAGCAGATAAAGATGTACAACAGTAAAACATCAGCCAACAAGTTGACAAAACTGTGAGCTGGTAAACCCTGTTAGTACCCACGTTGTTCCATAAAAAGTTAAGAATATAAAAATAACATTTGTATCAATGCATATTTCAGAAAAGAAAATGACAGAATGATTTAATGGTTTACTAGAAACTACGTGGAGTGTCCTGTTATGATGAAAACTATACAAAAATTATTCCCTTTAGAGATGAAGTTCAATGTTATCCCTGTACAATGTGCAAGGTATATAGATTAGAAGAAAAATCCTTGTAAAAATGATGAACAGTAAAAGAAACATGAAACTAAAAGAAAATAATTATAATTCTAAATCTAATATTTAATGTTGATATAATAACCAACTCATAAGCTACGGAGGAGAACTCTAATGCCCCTTTAAAATTCTTAGTTTACAATTATCAAAGAGTTATTTTCATCGGTGAAGTATTTGTAACATTGTAATTTATAATTTATAGAAAATAGGAGATTTAAGGATAAAATATTTTTTACTTATTTTAAAATTTGGTCACGACGGAAATAGATCTTTTCATTTTCAGAAGGATATTTTGTGTCCTGATGTGTGAGAAAAATTCCCAGTTTATTTCTCATATTTCTTGTGAGTTGCCCTGGAGTTAAATCCTAACCTAGTCCAACCAAGCTACTGCAACTTTAACTGCTAATTTATAACTGCTTAACTTTCTACATGGTACTTCAGAATAATAGGTCACCTTATTTTTACTTTTACATCCACATTGTTCTCTCAGATTTACATTTTAAATCCATTTTGCATATTAAATTGAAGTCTCTAAGAACGTGTACTGAAATCTTGATAAAAATCATGATTTTTATTTTCTTTTCTTTTCTGAATGATTTGTTTGAAATTAAATTGATTTTTTTTACGATCCGAGTCGTATGTTGCAACTTTCTGAATTTGGATGGACGTTACGTTGTTCGGTACAAGTCGTTTTTAACAATTTTCTTCTTATAAAGGCAACGAATAGAAGTAAGATTAGTAGCGATCAAAAGCGCTTATTTTTTCCGTAAGCATTTACCCCTTTTCATTTTTGGCGAACACTCCCTTTAAAGGAATAAAAAATTGATTATGTTTCATATTTATTCTATCAAATTTATAAGAAAACGGGTTTCAGTTACTTTACTAGAGTTCTGCATGTGTCTTTTTAAAAATTGCAACATTTAATAAATATATGATATACAAGAGATAATTTACAATAAATATTGATTACACACAGAATATAGGAATGGGACATATATCTGTCAGAAATCACAAGTAGGGTAGCTTATAGATTGCATAATAAGTAAATAGGTTAAGTGAAATTAACAAAAATTTCAAGATTACATCTACATTCCAACAACTGGGAGAAAAATCCATATCTAAAAAAATTGACAGATTAATTAAAACATAATACAAAAAATAAAATTTTTTTTATATGAGTACAGAGAGAACCAGTAAACTGTGGAATAGAAAAAAGACATTACAGCAATATTTAAGTGTATTGGATGTTGTTACAAAGTGTATATTTTTACTTAAAAAATCATTTATTGAGTGAAAGGAACAGAGCACACTGCTTAATTGCTGTGTCTCATGTTCATTGGACTATTCAAAAAATGTTAACTTGAATCAAAAGCCGTCTCCTGTCATACAGTTTTCTAATTCTCACTGTAAAAAGATTTTTTATTTTACGTATTGGAAGTTTAGCAGGCCAAATTGGTCGTGGTTAAGAAAATTTGTTATTTCCCAAATTTTTTTTACCTTTAAAATGAAAAACCACAAATCTTTTTGCGATTATATAGATGAAATTGGAATGTTATGGTACAGTTATGTTTGTCAACAAAAGATTTAAAATTCGGTGATGGTGATGAATCAAATCTCTGTAGAGATCAAAAATAGATGTTAGTTCCACATTTTATTGAAAATATATCGGTCTAGGTTGACCCTCGTCAGATTAAACCATATAATAACCATCAAAATCTTTGTTAAAAATCACAAGAAAAAAAAACAAACAAAAAAGGTTATTTAAAAAAATTTTAAATGGGCTGTCAAATGGGAAACGAACTCAGATCATGAGATGGAAAAAAGAAAATTTGCAAATATTCACCTTTTAAAGAATGTTTTAAGAAAATTATTATTTCTTGAGATTGTTTCTGTCATGAAGATTTAAAACAAACTGTATAGTTTATATGTAAAGTGTATAAAGTGGTAGTGCATGGGGGTCAACAAAGATATGTCAACAAAGAATTGATAAAAGACGAAATAAAAATATTTACCATTCATCCTTCTTCTAATCTATTGATTGTTATCTTCTATATCAAGGGATCCATCAATCTAATCATCGGGTTGAAAATATTTTTTTAAAAAGGTAAAAAAGTTTAATTTCAAATATAAATCAGGCTTCAGATATTAATATTTTTTCCCATTGGCGACCTGAGGGTCAAACTTTTGATTACTGTAATTATAAGGCTTAGCTTGCAACCATTAGTCTGCAGGGCATTGTGTTGAGTCCCGTTTTAAAACATTCAAAGTTTTTAGGCTTTTTGAAGGCTACACAAGAATATGAGATGCAAATCCTATTTTAAAATAGCATGCTAAACAAGTTTGCTTTTTTTGAACACAGCAACATTATTACTCTGATTAAAAATATTAACCAAAACGATTGTCATCGTTTTTCGGTTTCCGTTTTGAAAAATCGGTTTGGCAATATCTTTGATCAGAGTATAAATTTTGCTTCGTTGAATAAAAGCAAACTTGTTTAGAATGCATCTTAGGTTCTTATGAAGACTTTAAAAAAGCCTAACAACTTTGAAGGTTTAAAAACGGAACTCAAAACACACGATGCCCATCAGTAGCTACCATTCCCGTTGCCAGCTAAGTCTTACATTAAGCAGAATACCTCATTGGTGCCAGAAATGGTTGGCTTTCTCCGATCTATGGAGCTAAACCCCCATTTAAAAGTTTATGCGCTGGATATCGAGTTTCTGAAGCTAAGCAATATACCAATCAAAGTTATAAACTCTAAAAAACATTAAAAAATATATTCTTAAAAAGTTTTCATGATTTAAATCTAATTAAATGTTCATGGTATCACCAATATTTTCCCAACCTCGTTTGATTCCTGTATAACACTATCCTGTCCCGCAAACTTTTTTCTTTTGGCAGAAATTATTTCCTTTGCTCGAAGTAGGGCCATCATCATGTCTGTATCTTAACAGATTATACAAATTTGTGGTTTCTGCATACCGATTTGGGGCAAATCGGTTGATATTGAAGTCAATAAAGTTTTTTTTTGTGAATTTATTATAAGAAAAAAAACTTATTTTCCTTTCTTATACTACGACAAATTTTGACCCGACAGAATTGGTATATATGCAAAATACGATCCAAAACAGATCTAAAAACAAAGATGTTTTAATGATCGTTTTATGATGATTTATTTCTACGATCAAGATATTGCACTATTTAATAAATGCAAGCTTTAACATAATACAGTTTTAAAATCTTATTATTAAATTTTAAATTTATTAAATTTAAAATGGATCGAAAACATTAACAAAAAAACAAGACTAGTTCTAGAATATTCTCTGTTGTATTCAGGTTATGAAGAATAGTTAAGATTGTTTAAAAATATAAAAACCTGGTTTCGGATGAACCAGTTTAATTGGAATATCAACCATAATTGCTCCTCCTAGTCCTCCACAAACTACTTTAACCTAGAATTACAAATTTTGTAAATATCTAAACTTTTTCAAATGAAGCAACTTAAAAAGATCACAAAATATTATGACAGAGGAAAATGTAATAATAAATGTATCTTAAAGCATATTTAGTTATTAATTCAGGGTTTAAGGAACTTATACTTTTGAATTCCTAAATTTTAGCAACCTAATGGTCGTATTTTAAACTTAAATTATTTGATCTTTTATAATTCACAGTATTAACTATCTGAGGTCTACGACATTGGGTTCAAAAATCAGAGTTTGTGGCAAACACTCAACTCTGTTGTTCTTATAAATGAATTACCTTAATTACATAATCAACCACTATCCCCAAAATATCGTTCTTATCTCCGGTACAAGATATACTAGACGAGGCTAGGTTGGTTTCATCTACCTCCTAAATATAAAGGATAAAGAGACTGTACAGGATATACTAGACGAGGCTAGGTTGGTTTCATCTACCTCCTAAATATAAAGGATAAAGGGACTGTACAGGATATACTAGACGAGGCTAGGTTGGTTTCATCTACCTCCTAAATATAAAGGATAAAGGGACTGTACAGGATTTATCTACATCCTTCAGTGCACGATGTAATGTAGACGGTATAACTTCTGAAACACCATTACACATACCTTGCTTAGCGCTGCGTCCAGACATACCCCTCTGACTATGATTGTACTCTGGGATAAGGGTTTAGCCTGGTGTACTGCATGGAAACTGTATCCAGGTAGGATAGGACATCCTTCACCCTCAAACGTACCCGAGTACACCTAGAGTTAGTTAAACCATAATTATATCATTTTGAATTAAGCTACGAGGACGACGATGCTCTTTATGTTTACTGGGACTTATCACGTTTTGGTACTTTTTCTCCGGCCAGGATCATGTTCAAAAGATTTGTAAACACATTCCAAATAAATTGGCAACCGTAATTTTAACTTCATATTAAAATTCCCCATATGAACAGCCCCCTTTAACTGTTTGGAATAGTATGCAGGGTGTGAGACATGTTATGAGAATATTAAATGTTTTGAATACTGTGTGTTGAGAAAGGTGCATTTCTCGAGTTTGTTATTAACAAAACAGAACATGGTTTCTGAACAGTTTAAACCTCGTTATTAATTTATTTCCTGGGAAAACATTAGTTTTTTTAGATTAAGTAAATAAAAATACCTTGTTACTATATTTCATATTGAGCATCTTCATGTCAATAAACTGATAAACGAAAACCTGAAAGTATTTATTTTTAGAAAGAATATTTAATTGATGTTGATTTAAATAATGAAACATTACCTTGACTTCTTTAATTGTTCGTATACTGTCATTTTGTATCGACACATGTACAGGAATTTCTTCGCCATGAGTGAATATCTCTTTTTCTAGGCTAGCTTCAAGAGATATTGAACCTTAATAAAGTATCTCTTTTTCTAGGCTAGCTTCAAGAGATATAGAACCTTAATAAAGTATCTCCTTTTCTAGGCTAGCTTCAAGAGATATAAAACCTATATAAAATATCTCTTTTTCTAGGTTAGCTTCAAGAGATATAGAACCTTAATAAAGTATCTCTTTTTCTAGGCTAGCTTCAAGAGATATAGAACCTTAATAAAATATCTCTTTCTTTAGGCTAGCTTCAAGAGATATAGAACCTTAGTAAAATATTTCTTTTTCTAGGCTAGCTTCAAGAGATATAAAACCTTAATAAAATATCTCTTTTACTAGGCTGGCTTCAAGAGATATAGAATCCTAATATAATATCTCTTTCTCTAGGCTAGCTTCAAGAGATATAGAATCTTTTAATAAAGTATCTCTTTTTTGAAACTACTTTCAAAAGATAAAGAACCTTTATAAAAAATCTTTTTCATAATAGCTTATAGAGATATCTTAATGAAATGTTTTTTTTTAGCTGTTAAGTCGGGATTGGCGTCCATTTTGAAAATTCCCGATGTATTTTTTTACCGTTAATTACCTGCACTACAGATAAATAGTTTACTGCACGTGTCTTTAGGACATATCAACTGTTTTGTCTCCGTAAACTGAGTCTACGATATAAATATTCAATCATTTGTTAAGAATGTTACGGAAAATGCATAGAGAATAGAAAATATATTAGAGGGGAATTTAGAGAATCTCTCGGTATGAATTTTTTTCAGTCCCTGAAAGGGAGTTAAAAGTGTACAAATCATGTAAATGTTCACAAATTATATGCAGTAGAGTACATTGATACAGTATGTTCCCTAGACTATTCATTTCAATTTCGAATTTTTTAAAGCTGTTAAATAAACTAGGTGAATAAAAAACATCATTTGATTTACATCGTCTGTAAAGCAAAAGGCATAGAGTCTATGTGAAACGATCATTGGTCAATTATGAAACCAGCATATTTCATAATTTTGTTTTCTTTTAACATTAATTTTCGAATTTCTATATGATGATATTCCAGGGCCCAAAAGGTTATATAGCATAAATATGTGAAGTACACCTGCAGTATGGAAACAGTACAACAAAATGGCCGTTTCACACTTTTTACTATTAAATTCCCCTCTAATATATATTATATTCTCTTTGGATTTATAACAACTAAAATGGTTATTATTGAATAAATCATACCAACAAGCTAGTTATTTAAAAAGGAATGTAAATTCATTGAAAAACTTCAACACATTCAAAATTAATCATATGTTTGACTTTTATTAAAAAAGGTATTTTTCAAATTCCAAAAAAAGAAAATTATGGAATTTATTGATTGAAACATTTCCTTATAATAAGTGAAAGATCGAAGAAAACCACCGGACACGAAGCGCTGTTTTTTTACCTTTCTTATTCCCATACTCGTTGAAGATCCTTTTCTTCCTTTATAATCATCTTGATATTCTGCTACATGAACACGAACCTCGTAGAATACTCCCATTGTTCGCTAAACATGTAATTATTTTAATCTGTTTAAAGGGACTGACCCCAAATTTTTGGTAAACGAACAGGTATTTGTTAAAGTAAACAATGAGAAGTCTATTCAATATTTGATATCTTTGAGATGAAACGTATTATCGAATATATAAAACGTACTATCGAATATATATAACGTACTATCGAATATATAAAACGTACTTCCGAATTTATAAAACGTACTATAGAATATATAAAACGTACTATCGAATATATAAAACGTACTATCGAATATATAAAACGTACTATCGAATATATAAAACGCACTATCGACTATATAAAACGTACTATCGACTAGTTTTGATACAAATCTGTATTCCACCTTTTTATCTCCTGGAAAGTTATTACGTTTTTGCGTTCGATTTACGTTCTCTTAACTATTCTCTTTAAAGTTTTTTTTGGAAAATTTGAGAAAGATTTTTTTATAAATTAGATTTTTTTTTACTTTTGTTGGATCCTCGTCTTCATCATCGCAGATAATGATTGAGTTTGGAGCAAGCTTAGGGAAGTTTAGGGTGAAGGGAGCAACTGCATCTCCTGAACAGTTTTACAGTGTATTCATGGTCACTGCAAGAACCAAATACATAGTGTACAACAGGAACAAATGTATAGGGTGTACGACAAGAACTCAATTAACAGTGTACTCTCAAACTAAATTTACAGTGTAAACTGAGAACCAAGTTCATAGCGTTCACTACTAACCAAATTTGGTTAAGTACACTAAGAATCAAATTTGTGGTGCACCCCAAGAACCAAATTTACAATGTACATCAAGAACCAAATTTACAGTGTACATCAAGAACCAAATTTACAGTTTAAACTGAGTACCAAGGTTACCGTGTGTACAGAGAAACACATTCATAGCGTTCACCACAAAACAAATTTGTTGTATAAACTGAGAACCAATTATACAGTGCATTTGTACACTAGTAATCAAATTTACAGTGTACAGAACGAAGCAAATTTACTGTATGGTTGGTAAGATTGGATTCAAGTAAAAAGATTTGACTTGATTTACCGAACTTTGTTGAGAGGACATTCTGCATCCGAGTTAGATTATCATCAGTTTTGTTCCCCTCGCAGAACATCTGAAAAACAAGATTATATTCTCAGAAATTGGTTCTTTGCCACAACTCTGATTCTTTAACTCCTAAATATTTTCAAGCCAATGTCGGATACTTAGATATTTAAACTAAGAATTCTTTGAGATAATAATCTAAGTCTAATTGAAAAGGTTTGCTCCATCATGTTGCAAAGATATAGGAATTTGAAAATTCGAGTTTGTGTCAAAGACTCAATTCCTTAGCCTGATAATTGTCCTAATTACTGACAGTAACTATGCTTTAATGTGTGGGTCGTGTAAGAAATTTCAGGGTTTGAATGCAATATGCATCTGACCAATATTTGAGAAAGTTTATAGTAAACAATTAAAGCAAACCCAGCCTGCAAGCTCTCTTTATGGGATAAAGGCATAGAGAATAGAATATATAGAGAGGAATTAAAAGAATCTCTCGATATGAATCTTTGAACTCCCTTTCAGCCTGAAAGGGAGTTCAAGGTGTACAAATCATGTAAATGTTCACAAATTATATGCAGTAGAGTACATTAATACAGTATGTTCCCTAGACTATTCATTTCAATTAAGAATTTTTTAAACTGTTAAATAAACTTTATAATGAATAAGTTGAATAAAAACATCATTTGAGTTATAGTTATAACGGAAAATCATCGTTTGTAAAGTGGAAGGCACAGAGTCTATGTGAAATGATCATTTTCTATATAATGATATTCCAGGGCCCAACAGGTTATATAGCATAAATATGTGAAGTACACCTGCAGTATGGAAACAGTACAACAAAATGGCCGTTTTACACTTTTTTCCATTAAATTCCTCTCTATACATTCTATTCTCTATGGATAAAGTATGTCAAATTTAATAAAAGGCAAGGAGAATTGAATAGAAGGAGGGGGCGATAGGGTTTCCGTACACTTTGCTGTGACGTTTTTGAACTGCTGAAGAACTAGTTTTTGCGTAACAACAATAATAAAGATTGTAAACAATAACACAAATGATAAACAGACATCTCTGGCGTTAGATGAAAATTCACCGTATACTAACTCATGTTTGTTTACATTAGATCGGCTGCCTTCAGCAGTCCAAAAATGTCACAGCAAAGTGTACGGAAACCCTATCGTCCCCTCCTTCTATTCAATTCTCCTTGATAAAAGGTACCCTGTGGTACAGTCTTCTAATAGTGCTTTAAACAAGACACCCTGTACAATCCTCTAACAAAACTAGAAAAAAGACACCCTGTTCAATTCTCTAACAAACTATAAACAAGACATCCTGTACAATCCTCTAACAAAACTAGAAAAAAGACACCCTGTACAATCCTCTAACAAAACTAGAAACAAGACACCCTGTAAAATCCTCTAACAAAACTAGAAACAAGACACCCTGTACAATCCTCTAACAGAACTATAAACAAGACACCCTGTACAATCCTCTAATAAAACTAGAAACAAGACACCTTGTACAATCCTCTAACAAACTATAAACAAGACACCCTGTACAATCCTCTAACAAAACTATAAACAAGACACCCTGTACAATCCTCTAACAAAACTATAAACAAGACACCCTGTTGTACAATCCTATAACAAAACTATAAACAATCCTATAACAAAACTAGAAACCAGACACACTGAGTCCGAATTAATTGAGTTAAAGCCGTGTCTCAAATCTATCATAAACCGGTTTCAATTGAGCGTTGGCTTAAATTTTCAAACATTGTATACAATTTAAAGAGGAACCAACAATATTTGAGCCGCGTCTTAAATTTAAGCCGCGGCTCAAATTCTTTTAAATACAGCCTCTGTATACCTGAACTCGATCCAAGATGATCTCCTTCTTGAACGTGATCCCCATAGATTCATCTTCCTCTCGCCCATATCGAAATGTCGTCTTTAATTGTACATAAATTCTCCTAAAATGTATAATTGTACATATATTCTCCTAAAATGTATAATTGTACATATATTCTCCTACAATGTATAATTGTACATATATTCTCCTAAAATGTATAATTGCACATATATTCTCCTA